TAAAGATTTTAATTAATATAACGTTTTTTTATTATAAAATTCGATGGATTTACATATTTAAAAGTTTATAAAAAAGTAGTTTGAAAGATAAAAAAAATATGTTGAGTAATATTTATGTATACAATATTTTACAATTATATTTTTTTGTCACTGAGGTGTATCCCAGGTGACTGTTCCTGGTTTAATTTCAATTTCTCTGCAGTTTGATGCTATTTTATAATTATATATTTTATTTCTTCAATTTCTAACTGAAACGCGTCTCTTTATTTTTGATTCGCAGAAGTGAGACAAAATGTACAATGGCATTGGACTTCAAACTCCACGTGGTTCTGGCACCAATGGGCACGTTCAAAGGAATTGGGCTATCGTGCGAAAAAACAAGGATAAAGTTACTTACAAGATGGAAGAATCCAAAGCCGATCAATTGAATAAACAACCAAACAAGGAAATCTTAGACCATGTCAGAAAGAGAAAAGTTGAGGTCAAGTGTGCGGAGTTGGCTGATATTCTAGAAGATCAAGGGTAAATATCCATAAATCCATTCTATATTTGTTATATTTTAAACTTTAAAAGCTTCTGAATTTATAAATTGCATCAGGATACAATTTGTCATTTTTTTTTGGAACAATTGGAAGTATCTTACGAATCATATTAAAATTCTCAACAGTATCTTATAACTTTTAATTATTATAATTATTTTAAGATCTCAAATAATAATTATCAATAATTATCGATATAGTTGAATCTTTGTTTCTAATAAAATTTTAGATAAATGTATTATCTTCAAACTATATATTGAAGCCAAAGGCGGGCAAAGCAAATCCTATTAAGTTTATAATCTCATTTAAGTTCGAAAGTAAAAAAGCTGCTTAGGAATTAAATCGACAACATGCTTAACGACCTAAATATATAACGTAATATGAATACAATATAAATAACATAGAATATGATTGAATATAAAATGATATAAAATTATATACATTAATTAATATGTGGAAAATAATAAATATATAATATAATATAATTTTTAAACAATTTGCAATCATAATTTTAATAATAGATAATCAAAATTGAAATAGAGATGACATTATTCTTCTCGTAGAGTAAAAAAGTTTTATCACTTACGCTTATCTAACCGCGCTGTACTCTCATTAGCCTTGAATTGCTTTATGTGTATTTTTTAATAATAGATTTGTTGTTGAAGTTAATACAGAAATGTATAATTATGAGAACAGATTGAGAATTGATATAATGTCTTTTTTTTTTCTATGAATTACAGATATACGAACGAGGAAATAGAGAACAAGGTAGAACAATACAGATCAGTGTTAATAGGTGGCGATATTAAGTCATCCACGCCGCAAGATGAATTTGGCCGAGTTAAGTAAGTACATTTTACTTAGCCTTCTTTTAAATTAGCACAAACGAAGGATTCTTAATATCAAATAATAATATTAAAAAAATAATGGGTATATAGGTATATGAATCAATTAACTAACTTTTATACGCCCTTTATTTTCTTTACAACCTTCTTCTTTTAATTTTTCTTTAGATTAAAATATAATTACAAAGATATGTAACGAAATAAATTAGTTGAGCCGTAATATAATAATTCGGAATAAATTAATTAGATAATTAGATAGTAATCATATATACAGCTCGATCATATTAATTGGAATAATACGTAGTAAATAAAAAATCAGAATTAAAATAAATATATCTAATAATTTTTTATAAATTAAATATATATGAGAAATATATATTGATTGTGTGTGTGTATACGTGTGTATGAGATATTAATTAAAAGATATATCAATAGCGATAGATAATGGAGATTACATTAAATTATATAATTTTAAATTTAATAATATCATAATTTTATTAACTGAAAAGAGATTAATGTAAAAAACGCGATAGCATTTCATTTTCAAAGTGTACGGAATTCTGAGAGGAAAGCTTTCCTTTTCATATTGATTTCTGTCAACCAAATCCAGGATAATCCTGACGGCGAGCAGATACTATATGCGAAACGACGTATATGATGTTAAAGGTGTCTGAGCTTCTTGAGATTTCTCTGCCACAGCTTTATTCGATCTCCGCTGAAGGAAAGCTTTCACAAATGCAACATCATATCGCAAGAAAATATATTTACGTGCTTTCTGAAAATCCTTATTCGAAAGACTTACTTATTCAGAAGGTTTACGACGTCTTTTAGATATTCTAGTTATTTTTCGTAGCTATAACTTAAATTTGATTGGGTGTACGATTTTTCATACAAATTAAATATGACAAATATAATAAAAAATCAATTTTAAGAAATATATAAAAGAAATTGTAACATATTAGGTTAAGTAAAAAGTCATCGCGTTTTTTTAAAAGACATCTATCAGTAAAAACCGCAATTACTTTCTTATCAACAATATAAATATATCTTGATAGAGTAAAGTTTCAGCTTTAAAAATCTCTTTTTTAAATTATACGATACGACAATTTTTAATGGAGTTATGAGCAATTAAAGTCAAAATAATTCTTTTATTTAATCCGCGATAACTCAGTAATCAAAAGTCGTAGGAATATTTAAAAAAAACGATTTTGTAGGGAAAGTATCAAGCTTTCACGATAGGTAATCGAAAATTTTCTCAAATTCGTTTTGGACACGTTACAAATCCACAAAGTGAGAAGAAAATTTTTCGTCTTTTTCAGCTCGTAGTTTTTGGTATGTAAAAATTATCAAACTCATATAAACTTAAAAAATGTGATAAGCTTTTAAAAGTAGAGATTTCAAGCTTTAAAATCCTTTTTTTAATTTGAATTTCATTCATTATTGATGAAGATATTGTATATACAACTTTGAGCTAAAAAATACGCGATGACTTTTTACTCAACCTAATATTTAAAAATTAAATATTTTCTATTTTAACGCATACAGAAAGTTAGTATTTAGAAAGAAACTAAAGTTTTTGAAAATATATAAAAAACTTTCAAGAAACGCAATGGAATAAAAATTCAACATTGTATTATTTTAATAATATATTGACAATATATTTTTGTTTTAAGTTAGAAATATTAATTATTGACATTATTAATTAGTATGTTAATTCAGAGCGGTATCACTTTTTTTCAAGAAGATATATTTGATTATTTAATGTTTAAGATTTATTATCTTATATGTAATAACGAAGAAGAAAACGCAAATTATGATTATTATCATTACTGACGATGATTAATTTAATATTTTGTTTCATTTTTACTAGCAAAATATTGAAATTGCGAAAAAATATCAGAGTTATAGTTTTATGTTAGATCCGAAATAACTCGAGAGGGCGGGGACGCATTCCGTGGCAATCTTGATAGGATCGGTGGAGGACAGGGTAGGTGTTATACTCGCGATATCGACGTACCTCATAGCGCCGGCGCCAAGAGGGTGAGAGGGGTGAGAGGATGAGGGGGGTACACCCGGGCGGAGGAAGACGAGAAGTGGGAGAAAGAGGGAACGCAGCATCTCACTCTCAGCAGCCAGCTTTTTCCGGCGCCTCAGTGCGAGGATGGACCGGCGTCACGACGCAGCCAGTGGACGCGTCGTCGTGTGTCGTCGTCGACGGATGGTGCATCGAGGGTTGGATTAATTTGGGGTGACACCGGGTGACCCCGCCGGAAAAGGAACATGTGACGCGACGCGACGCACGAACCCGCGGACAAATCACAAAAGTCTTCCATTAGCTTAATTTAATAATCTAATAGCGTGATTACTATCCCGCTCCTCTAGGTCGTTCCTAAGTGCTAAGTTTCGAGTTAGAGAATACATCGCGAAGTAGGGTTTAAGTCTAGCGTTAAAGTTTCACGGGAGCAAGCAACGATTTGCGTCGTTCAAACTTACAGAAGATATCGTAGTTGAATGTGATAACCGAGCGAAAGAAATCTGCGAGAAAGATCGCACAATTTTCGAATGTATGATGCATACAAATACGAAAAATATCATCTATTACATATTTATTACATGGTCCAGTGATGAATGAAAGAAATAAGATTTACTTAGAAGAGTTGTACCATTTCACTGGAACGAGTTGTACCGTTTCACTGGAACGCAGATACATACGAAAAATTACGAATATCGAATGTTGGAGTGATCCTCTTGAGTGAGAAGAAAACTTCAAGGAATTATATTGCTCGTACACATTTTAGGCTAATTCATAATATAAATATACGTGGAGAAGATATTATATATTAATGAAACATTATATTAGTTAAGCATTGAATGTTAAACATTAATTGAAATAAATCTCAGAAGAAGTCTCTAACAAGAGACTTATCAGACGAAACGGTTTATTAATAAAGAAGATCAATATTTGCAATTCAGAAATCTGAATTTTTACACTGTTTGTCGAGATATATATGATATAAAAATAATTCGATTGTCTTAATTGGAAAGAAGAGAGGAAAAATTCATTTATCTAGAAAAGAAAAAAGGAAGCTCAAATTTCTTAAACATTTTTATAAAAGAAGATCTTATGTGACGATCTTTCTCGCACGCATCTTCTCGCAATTTTCACTTCATCAAAAGAGATGAAATATATCTTCGTGCGTCTCCATTTAGAAGAAATATAAAAAGTTTTTCTACGAAATCCATGTGTCTCCAAAACATCGACTGCAACAAGTCGATAATATATTGTTAAGGAAAACGTCCTGCTTCAGTCTGACAGAAAAAAGAAGCACGACGATAATAGTGTGCCTGATCTGAAGTCTTCCTCAACTCTGTTAGAATGCATACAGCAACATCTCCAATGCGAGGATTTACGTATTACTATATATTCTTCCACGATCGTATGGAGTAAGAAAAAAGTATCCAATAACCCAAATAACGTAATAATAATTCTAATCGAACACACAATGTCACAAGATATATAGACAATAATTCATTCCTGATAATAATAGGAAGATTGTGAGCGTAATAATAAATGATTATAATACTATAAAACGTAATAATAAAAAATCAAAATATAAGTATAAGGAATGTATGAAGTAAAAATAACATTGATAATATTGTGAAACGTTCGGGAACACTCGGATATGAGATGATGAGAGCCGCTTGAAGAATATCAAAGTGGAACGACGTATAAGGAAAGGGAGAGACGGAACTCGTTATTGTAATCATCATCATCATCGTTGTCGTCGCTGTATGATTGTTCTAGCTAGAAAAGCCGGGACAAAGATGCGACGACAGTAATTGGGAAGGGAGAGAGCTATTACCTCTGCTCGTGATTTTCTCTTTGTACCTCCGCTTTGTACTTCATCCTTTCTATTTCCTTCGTGAAAGGATTAAGCGTCGTAGAGCTACTTGTGCAACGTGGACCAACCGATGGAGCATCTGGAATTCAATTAGCAGCCTAACATTGACATTACCTTGTCAATGTTATTCGTTATCTCCTTTATTTTAGGTGAATAAAAAACGGTGAAGAAACGAGACACGTAATAACACTTGAGATAATTATTGATCATTAGAACTGGAAGAAGCCAAATAAAAATTACAGATTATTTTGTAACTACTGCATAATCAGCGATTATTCTATACAATCAGAAATAATCAGAAAACGTTTTTCATGAGAAATTATTCCATACTACTGTATTAAGCACAAAAGAGAACAATTTTATTTCTAAAAATAAAAAAGAGGATAATATCTACTAATATTTAATCTACGATCAGAAATAATGCTATGAGCAAAAGACGATAAAATCCTAGAAAGGGCCTTTAGACTCAAAACTGAATCGATTATTAGAAGAGATCAACGATCGTTCTACGCTACATCAAGTTGCGTTAAGAAAGATTTCTCGAAGGAATCCTTTTCTTCTCGAAGAAGAAATTCTCATTCGATACTGCGTCCGAATTTTGAGGAATGGCAATGTCGGCGACTGTGTCACCGGCGAAACCTGCGCGTGGACGTGGCCCGGCTGACGGCCGGGCCTTCTTCGAGACGCTGTGGCGAGGCGGCAATTTTTTGCTAGATCGGCAAAAGGTCCTGAAGCGCTCGCGCAAACGCAAATTGCACTATGCAGCAGCCAATAACGGCAAGAGGAAGCAGCAACTGCTGCAGATGCAGCGTCAACACTGCTGTTGTTGCCAGCGCATTCAGCTGCACCTGCTCGCCGAACGGCGAAGCAACATGCGCTCCGTCGTCAGGTGAATCCCTTTGTCTGCTTTCAGCTCAATCTTAAGACTGTACACTGGAGTTGTCTTTGTCCGAGCTTTTTTATTCTTGTTAATGTAAAATGTAGAAATAAAAAGAATATTTAAATCTTCTATGAGTTACAATATATAACTATAATTTCGATTTCAGAGACTAAATAACCAAATCGTCACTCGTTTTTAATTGTCTTGTAAATATAAAAGTTACTTTCCAAGTTTCCGGTGTACAGTTTACATTTTAATAGTATAGTTAATAAGAGAGAGAGAGAGAGAGAGAGAGAGAGATTAAGCTAAAATGCATAGAATATCCTTGATTATTAAATCATTTTTTCCTTTCCAAAACTATGTTACTGTGTAAATTATGTAAGAGTAAGTAATTTGGAGTGAATTTCAGAAGAGAAGATATATAACGAAAAATCGTAAAATCTCGAGCTGATCTTATGTGAAATTTATTTTAACAGAATCATAATTTAAAGTTTAATCTTATGAGAATATGAAACCTTTTGATAATAACGGGAAATCTTTCTGGGATAAAGGAATCGCTCCTTAGTTTATTTCGCTCTTTGGGTTTGATTTGTTCGTGGCGATCGACTCGGCGTAAGTCGCCAAAGGCAATTGTACAGCGCAAAGGGGATGCCAGAAAAGAGAACAGCTGGATTGTATTGATCCGCCGGGTTCTGGCGCCGTGCGTGCAGGCGCGCAGGGGTGGCTCTCGCCCCGGCTCAACCCCGGTTCACCGCTTTTCACCGTCGCAGGAAAAGTAAAGAGAGAAAGAGAGAGGGACAATGAGAGTGGGAGAGAGAAGAGAGACTCGTGCGATTCTGCCCCTGCTTGCCATTCTAGTCGTCCCACAGAGTGTTATATCATTAGCATCGCGACGCCCGTTAAGGACGACACCGATTGACACCGTTTTTTTGTGATTGTGTACAGGATGCTCCTCCGAGTCTAGATTTTTCTAGCTTTCCGGAGCTTTGACGAAGTGATCACTGTCTTTAAAAGGATGACTGTGAAGATTTCGACGCGGTACGCTATCTCGATCATCTTTCGTCCAGGACTTTGCGACTGTATTATCGTGAACTATCGAGTGTGCCTTATAGATCGTCTCGATTGTAAAGATAATGCAGTGGGGCGATGTTTCGAAAATAAGGCATCGACATTTAAATATATGTGAATTGATTAAATATGATTAAATTATTAATTTGCATTCTTCCTGTGCGTGCGACATGATTTGTAATTCGATCAGCTCAAACATATGGCGTTTAAGATCACGATTCTGTTGTGTTGAGTTAACAGATATGATTCTGTAGTTTCTATAATTTTTTATTTATAAAATATGTTTAATATCTTAAAAGTGTGAAGCTACTAATTAGGTGTATGAAATTTGATTATTTATTCTGACTGCTAGACATTTATGATTGACGATTTAATAATTGGTGTTGAGCCATCAGCCTTAAAATATTTAATCACAGTGGCAAGTTAAATGAAAGCTGTGAAAACAGAATGCACTTTCTATGAGGATTTTGTAAACGTAAAACCGGTCATTGCCAATCATTATTACACATCAATAATTGTAATTTGTCAATGATTAGGATGGAGCTCGCTTTCCAAGGGTGGGCTTGTACATTCGTGAAAACTATTAATGACCGTAATAGTTTCTGAAAACTAATTAATGGCTGTATATATGATTTATTTACTACTGGAAATTGTACAGTATTTAGCACTCTTTCTATTCGTGGAAACTAACAAAGTTTGTGTTTTCAGTGTACGAGAGACACATCAGATCGCCGAGGCGCAGCAGGAGAAGAATGCGAAGCTTCGCGAAGCGTTTGGCATCTCCGAATTCTTCGTGGAAGGCAGTAGCTTAGACCCAGAGCGGCACGCACGCGAGGCGGAGGCGCGAGCCGCCGCCGCCGCCGCGAGCAAAGTCTACGAGCTGGTGCGTACACCGAGCCCGACGCCGCCACCAGTACCGGAAACGATCGTCACGACCGCTGAGAAGAAAAAGCGTAAGCGTTCCGGCAGCGCGGGCAAAAAGAAGAAAACTAAGAAGCACAAACGGGAAAGGTACAGCATAATGTAAACGGTGCGCTCACGGCTCCATGGAGGCTGGATTCGATCCCACCGTGACTTTTCTTTTTCTCTTTCTTTCTCTCTTTCTTTTTCTTGCTTCCGTTTTAAATATCAACTCAGAGTAAGATGCGAATCGAGGCTCCAAGACCGCACACCCGGCCCCGTCACACACTTCCGGAACACCCCAGAAAAGAAAAAAAGAACTCGACCAAGATCCGAGTAGAAAGTCTCCTCTCTTTCTCTCTTTCTCTTCCTATGTCGGTTAATTGAGACTATTCGTTTTGCAAACGTTCGTACTCTATCTTTCTCTCTCTCTCTTTTTGCTTTTTTTTACGCGTTAGCTGGATTTACAGAACTGTAAACTCATGACTCACCACCTACTGTCTCATATCCCGTACACCTTTCTCTGTTTCAAACAGAACTGAGGAGGACTGAGTGCCTACCCAGTAGGCGCAGTAGGTAAGTGTGGTCGTCGCGATTAATTTGAAAAAAAAAAAAATAAATAAATAAAAAGAAAGAAACTCTTCGCGCGCGAAGAAAGTTTAACGTCGTGCATCGTATAAAAAGCGTGATTAGAATATCGTTATCGTTATGGGATTTTTTCTGGGAGATTGTCTCTCACGCGATTAGATATCTCTCTGTGGGGTAAATGTTTGTTACGTTTCGTTTTTTTTTCGGTCAGACTATTAAAAAAAAACATGTGTATTTTGTAATTTAAAATGATATATAAATTACTTTTTAAAAATACAATCTTACTTTAATCCTTTTACAAAGTATGAAAATAATTTGTGTTAGTTACTAATAAAATATCGGAATGTTGAATTGAATTTGGAAAAATATTAGTACTAGAAATGTTAATAATTATAATACAGAGATGTATTCATTTTTTCAATTTAATAAATGACGGGCAAACATTTACCGGGGATGATAAAATAATAAAGACACAGGTTTTCACAATAAACGCAGAGAACGTTAAAAAGTAGAGAAAATTGCGCAGAAATGAAAATAGACGTAAACAGAAAACGAGAATCATACATTTCTATCTCTCTGTTGTTGTTTATCGATGAAGCTTGTTGTTAATGTCATCTCTCTATTTTTTTCTGACAAGTCCGTCCTTATCGATGGTTATCAAGGTAATGCTAATCCCATATTTATATCAATACTCCTCATTATGTATTATATATATATATATATATTTCGTATACTTGTCTTCCGTAAATCTTCGTTGAAAGATGTGGTTTTTCGTGGTTGTGGGTTATGCAACCTGAGGTCGGAGAACTCCTCGGGAATTTCGGAAATGAGTACAAAACCAGATCTTTCAAAGTGAGCTATTATGTAGTCGGTTTGTTAGCTATATCATACGATATTATACGCGATATTGTGAACAATCTCACTTTTATACTTTTTACATCATTATACTTTATTTTCCCTTGTTATTGCATACACTTCAGAATGAATATTGTGATGCAAAATTCATTTATGGAGTACTTTCGAAATAATTGAACAAACTTCAGAAATGAAAGAGGAAAGTTCATATCAGTATACTACATTGACGTGAACTTCTATTTTGTTTGACTGCCAGATATTTGAATGTTGGTCTAAATTATTTTGAAAGTACTTTGCATAGATCGCTGGCTTTTATTTAAAATCAAGTTATTTCTCAATATGTTAAAGAAAGAATTAAAATTGAATTATTGCTCCCAATCAGAGTGGAATATATTTCCAAATTTTATTGCGAGAAGTTAAGTTCTTAAAGCGGATAGCTTGTGTATATTGTACGTATACGTTGATATATCGATAGAATGGAGAATTGTTTTTCACGTACACCGATACGTTGTATACTACAGCTTTCTTTATATATTGTCAGCACAAAGGTATGCACATGTCGACAGGAAGACGCCCACTGCAAGAGTTATATAAAACTAAATATCGTTTGACAAAACTAAAAAAGATGCTATCGCCTCGAAACTCTTGTAACGATTATTCAATCTCCGATTTCATAGATCCGAATCTCCCAAGTCTGGCAAGAAGAAAGAAAAGTCCAAGAAGAAAAAGAAGGAGAGAAAGCATAAAAAGACCGAGGTCACGTCGTCCGACAGCGACTCCAGTGAGGATTCTGATGATAGCAAGTAATGACGATAATCAATTTATTTATTAAATATTGCAATAATAATAGTTCTTTATGCTGATAATTCTTATAAAATGAAAGCATTTGTTTCAAAAATTTGTTAATTTAACTTATTTTTATAAAAAAGAGGGGAATGATGTTAAACAATTTAGTTTAGTATGAGATTATTTAATCAACATTGATTATAAAATACTTATACATAAATTACACGGTGAAAGTAAATAATAAATGGACATTACGTAGCTCATCTGAGGCCGAATCGAAGAAAAAGAAGAAAAAGAAAAAGAAAAAGCTCAAAGTCGAAGGAAAGGACAAGCATGAGGTATGCACGATACTTTGAAGAAAATTAAATATAAATTCCCGTCTCTTTCTATCTCTGTTCTCTATCTTTACATATATATTTATATACTTCGGCACGTGAAAGTAGGTGCATGACAACGTCTCTAGTTTTGGTTTGTTTCTTCTCAATTTGTTCGATTGACGCTGGGTGATCATTATTGTTATCCAATTTCTTGAATTTACCACTGTCTCGAAAAGGATAGCATGATCGTCTCTTTCTCCTTGCTGATCCCCTCCGGTTCGCTTGTTATTTTGCGTACATACGATTTTTCATCTGATTTCCAGTTTTTCGACAATTCATTATTTCAAAGTATAAATCTCAGTATTGTTTGTAATTATTCAGCGCCATTTGACAGGAGACATTCCCTGAGTGAGTACCAGATATGCCGCTATTCAATGTATAATTTCTAATTTTGTGGATTCATATGTACTCGTGTACTTTTGAATATTACGAATTTTACTATTGTGTATAAAAGCCTCTCTATTTCTCACTCGTTGTATGTCGAGCACTATTACACACTTATTGCGGAAGATTGAACTCGGAGACTGCTTGTTTTGAAATGGGGGATTGGAATGTATTCTTGTGAAAGAGAATTGCCACGATTAAAAAGGGAAAGATTAAAGAAATAGAATAATAAGATTTTGGATCTTTTAAGAGCCAGTTGTTCCATCTTCAGATAAACTATGTGGTAATTTATCTATTGGAATTTGATTTAAAAAAGAATGAAAGAATAAGAGCATAAAAGAGGAAGAAAGTAAGAGCTAAAATTTACTGAAAGATGGAATAATTCAGCCTTATTCATGAAAATTGTCCAATTTAATATATATCCTGGAAAAGCGACTCGAAGTTGTTACTCTTTTTAAATTATATTCCTATGAATATAACTGTTATTTTATTGTATAATAAGTTTAAGTCTAAAAGTAATTTTAAAAAATTGATAATTAACATAATACACAATTAACATACGATATCTCTTTGCATATAGATTTAATTTATAACAATTATATAAATGTTTGTTTTATTATATCGAAGTCCTGAATAGTCCAAAACTTCCAAACTGATTTCATTACAATTACAATTTTTGTGGGAAAGAATTATAATTCTTTGCCCAATCTCTACTCTGGAAACCTGGACTTGTTTTTAAAACTGATTTATTATTGTTTTGAGGTTTCTCTCTTCGAGCTGTAGTTTTTTCCAGAATCGCAGAAGTATATATCAACGAATAAGCAATTTTGTGTTCTTATTTTTTATCATTATTCATTATAACTATTGATTAGAAGATCCGAAAGCAGACTCCGGAAAAATTTTTTAAAATAAACACGTTCCTTTTTTGTTGCATTTTTTCATTGTACTCTTGATGAATGCATGATCTCGATGTTCACTAATTAGAAATAATAAACAATTAATTTATATTGGATTTCCTTTTAGAAGAAGAAGACATCGACTAAACGGAAACGTCAGTCATCTGAAAGCTCTACGGATAGGTATGTCAATTGTTTTTTTTTTTTTAATTTTACCACGATTGTTATTTTACGAATATTTGACAGAAGCTCAACAATTTTTCGTAATTCAATTTTTACTAATTCATTTATTTGCTTTAGTTATTATTTACTTGTTCTCTTATTTAATATCTGATTCGATGTGGATTGATCTTTCTCTTCCAGTTCCGTGGAAAAACCGAAAAAATCAGTAAAATATGAGAAAAACACCGTGGACAGGGCGTCGAGGAATGAAGTTTCCGAGAGTGTTGCGGCCTCGCGAGAACCACTTCCTCCTCGATCGATCCGATCACCAAAGCGAGAAGCATTGTCTCGAACAACAATATCTCGGAACGAGACTCCGCCACTACCGCCGTCAACCAGTAGCAAAACAAAGAAAGATTCGCCGAGAAAGAGTACGGCAGAGAAGCGGGACAAATCGCCGATGAACCACAACAGGAGTCCTGTTCCATCATCAAACAGGCGACATAAATCATCTTCCAGAAGTAGAGGCGATAGAGGCGACAGAAATGATAGAGACAGAGATAGAGACAGAGGAGGAAGAGAAGGAAGGTCTCCCAGGAGATACTCGAAATCACGCCGTATGAGTCCGTCTCCCAAACGGAGACGAGGATATTCTAGATCGCCTAGGAGACATAGCAGGTATTCCATGTCTAGGAGTAGGAGTCGCTCCAAATACGATCGCTATGGATCCTCTCGCAGGAGACCCGTATCTCCACCAACGAGACGCAGAGAGAGCGATTCTCGCCGAAGATCGCGCTCGGCAAGGCGACAGCAACGTCGACGATCCCGTTCGCGCTCTACCTTGAGTTATTCACCGGTTAGAAAGAATCCAGAGCGTTACAAAGATATCCTAGAGGATCGAAAATCGCGACGAGACCAGAAAAAGAAAACTAAGAGCGATAAAGCGAAGTCACGCTCGACATCGAGAAGCAGGAAAACACAACAGATAGCGGTTGCACCCAGAGTGAGTCTGAGATCATCGAGCGAGGACGAAGCCGATCTGGCCGACGATGAGCCCAGCAAACAGCAGCAAGAGGAAGACGAGGAAAGGAGAATTATAGAATTGAACACATTGAAACGATTGCAGAGTGGCTTAGCAGCAAAGGCACGGGAGACACTAGAGAAGAAGGTGATCAGTCCCACGAAGATCAAGATTGAGAGGCGGGAAGATGTGTTAGATATCGCTCTACCGAACGAACCACCGAAAACCGTAGCGCAAAATTCAATCATACCGATTCGAGACAGATCCACATCAAAGGAACCAGTTATACAAGCTCTTCCGATCATTCAGTCGCCAGTGTCTAGCAGGTCACCCTCGCCGGCTTTACCTCTCACCCGAGAAGAGGCAGCGATTAAAATCAGATCACCGAGTGAGTCACCGCCGCCATTGCCTCAGCAATCTTTTGAAAAAGTCGATTCCACGTCTCCCAGCGTGAAGACTAAGACAAATAGTCAGTTCTTAAGATCGCCAAGTTCCTCGGGCAAAAAAGATTCGCCGCCGATCGCGTCTTCGAAGAAAGATATCTCGAAAAGAGAGTCGTCTTCTCGATCTCCTACCACGATGATATCCAGAGAAGATAATACGATAATAAAATTGCGTTCGCCGAGTGAATCACCGCCGCCTTTGCTGAACATGTCGTTAGCTAGAGTGAACTCACGTCACTCGAGATCGCCAAAGAAAAGTAAATCGTACTCTAGATCGGCATCGAGATCATGCACGAGATCACCGTCCGTCGTGGACAAAGTGAGGTCTTCCAGATCACCGTCCGGAGACAAGAAATCGCGATCCCATTCGCGAGGCAAGAAATCAGCATCACCTGAGATGACTTCTAGATCAGCCTCCAGGGCAAAGAAATCGTCGCCCAAGACGAGAACGAAACAACAGCACTCGCCCCGATCTAGATCTCGATCCTCGGCGGAGTCAAAACGCTCGAGCGCGTCGAGATCGCCCTCGAGGTGCAAGAAATCCGCTTCGCGATCCAGAAGTAGAAATCGATCGTTGTCGAAGAGGAGGTCGCGCAGCCGTTCTTCCTTATCAAAGAAATCTAGGAGCAGATCGCTATCGAAGAAGAGATCACATAGCCGTTCGCTGTCGAAGAAATCCAAAAGTCGCTCGCGATCGGTATCGAGGATCTCCAGGGACAAGGATAAACGTAGTCACACTAGGAGTAGCTCCCGTTCTTCTGTTAGGTAAGAATTTGTAATTCAGCGACTAACTCTAATGAAATTATTAAAATTATACGAAATCAACAATTAGTAAAAAATATTTTGTATCTCTCCCCTCTTTATATTAGCTCCAGGCACAGTCGAGCTAGAAGTTTTTCCAGCTCATCAAGATCATCGAGCAGTGTCTTCAGTCAATCTTCCCGCTCCACCTCCAGCAGCTCTGCCTCCAGTAGATCACGCTCACCGTCGATACCTCGACGTCATGGTTCACCTAGTTTTCTGGACAGACGACGTATCACGAGGTAGGTATCGCGAAATTATGCATTGTATGTATAGTAGTTTATACATACATATATATATATATTTACCTTGCACTTTGTACGCGCGTGCTGGACTTCGTCCATCACTGTGTAATCGTAGACTTTTATTTATTAATTATACGTTTTCTTTAGTTCCCATTTCTTTTATTCTTAGAGTTTTGTTGTTATTATACATATATTGTATCATTATATTATAATCGCTAAAAATGTTTAAGAAATAATTTTTAAGAACTGTTCAAAATTTGTTGAAAAAAATATTGAACTTTTTTCGACGAAAGACGGACAATTTGCCAATATGATTAAAGATTTCGATTTTCGGTGTGCTAATATTGTATTTATTGTGTCCTACAGAGACAGATCAAAGGACAGGCATAGAAGATAAAGTTATGGCTTCGCACAGCATATTTATATATATAACAGTAAAAAGTCTGACATATATATATATATATATATAGACTTATATATATAGAATTTTCCCTCTAAGTAGTTTAGAGACTTGCAATTAATATTTTTATCGCCAGGGATTAATATCCTTTGTATTGATTAAAAAGCTATCGTGTATTATCTTTTATTTATATTTTAGGCGCAACTATTATATCAAAATAATAATTACTGAACGTAATTATTATTTTGATATAATAATGAATTTTAATTCTGTGGTAATGAGTAAAAAGCGTACTGATTAACTTCTCTTAATTAATACCTAAATATTGTATGATGCACGTCGTTTAATAGCGTTTATATCTGGCGAATAAAAATGTCCTAATCAATGAATCCAGCAATCAAAATGTTAAATGGCATATATAGTATATGTGACGGTTAATTACAGTATAATTGCTTGATCGAAGTCATTCAGATTACAAATGTAATAACGGAAGCAGAAAAGTTTCATGTAAATTATGACAAAAATTATTGTAATTACTAGCGATCATAATTATCAACAATTTCGCTCGTAAAATAATTCAGCATTGATCTTTTATTTTGTATCTTTCAGATTTTTTATTTGTATAATTCTTTATTTTCTTTCTTTTTTTCTAATCAAATCACTTGTAATTGATTCACAAATATACCATGTAGATATGGCATGCGTGTATGTTTTCCTTTATAAATATTGTAAATTAAATTGTTGTCTCACACATGCAGTAGAAAATTCTTTTTATTTTATTGTAAATCGCTAAATAAAAAAAATTTACCGGCAAATCAATTTTTTTCCGATTTATAATTTTTTAATTTTAAGTTTCTTAGTTAATATTTTTGCGATTTTTGAGTGTTTTTCGCGCCACTGCGTTCTTCAAAGAAACGTGTGTTTTATACAGGTAAGTTATCACATTTTTATTTTGCACGTTCTCATTTATCTGTAGCTTGCTTAATTTATTTTTATCACGTCGCATGTGCTATTTGTTTCATTTTCCACATAACAGTCAAACTTTCATTATCGAGATATACATTAATTAATTATTAACGAATTAAAGAATAAAAATTATGTATTACTAATAATTATTTTGTAATTATCTAATTATTAATTATTATAAATTTAGATTATTAGTCTTAAGTCTCTACTAATGAGTAATAAGAATTTTATGACATATTACAATCGCTTACAACTATTGTCGTCATTATTCCTAACTTTTATTGTTATTATTATATATAATTAATTTAATTTTCATCAGTACACAAGCTAACATAATGAAAAATAGTTTACCAGTTACCGTTCTTTTAACATTTGTAAATAACATGCATTCTTCATTAAGAAAATATCGTGATATACTAACGAATTTTCCTTTTAGCGCGAGGAAACGTCCGATCCCGTATCATCGACCAACCCCGACACCGCCCTCATCGCCGAGTAGTTCCGAGAGCAGTAGACACAGTAACTGGTCCAGTGCGAGTCATCGATCCAGCTGCTCCGCGAGTCGTAGTCCGTCTTACACGCGTTGAGAATTGAGAAAAACGCATATGTGAATTCCAAGTGAGAATTGACGTACGAATCCTTCGTACACTAGACTCGCAGCGGCGTAGCTCGATCCTTTATGATTTAAAGGAAACCACTATGTCCAGCTAATTGATTCCCGAGATATTATCAATTTAGACATTTAAATATATATTTGAAGATATATTAATTTAGAGAATTATAATTGTAAATATTAATTTAAAAATGAAAATTTAGGTCATAGAGGGTCGAGGAATATTCTAGAGAGGAAGTTTAGTAATGTCTGTTAAGTTTTTTGCGAAAAGAGAGATTGCATTTCGAAAATAAATGGGAGCATGTTACATTATTTCTTATGAAACTAAGAAAATGATCTTTATTAGCAATAATTTCGAATCATTAATGGTTTTCGTGATATTCATTCGACAAATTTCACGAGGAATAACACCATGTTCATACTTTTAATTGATTTTGAGACGTTTTGTATATAAACTATATACGATATCGATTAATTCAAATAACACTAGTCTAAAAAACTTTGAAAGATTGAGTCGACTTTTAGATACTTTTATGTTAATAGGAAAAGAAATTGTTCATATTAACTTCATGAATTTAGAATGATTTTTGCAATCATAATTATCTAAAAATGCAAAGACAGCTGTTGATTTATTTGATATTATTTAAATAGTATTTATTTCATTTCTTTTTTTAATTTAATTGAAATTAATTCCGAATGAAAATCCCATTTGGTGCATAGTGCATAATTGCAAATTTTACAGGATTAAACAGGATACTAATTAACCGGCTTATAAAATTTATAAAAAGAAACAACAAATCTCGATTATAACAATAATATCACTTATTCTCTTTTTATTGAAAAAGAAGATACAAAATATCAATTTTAGATTTTGAATTTTTTTATTCGAATTACAGTGCAATTTTCCAATTATTGTTGATACTGGAGAATTATCGTGGAGAAAAATGGATATTAATGTAGAATTTAATGTATTATATTCTCTTTCTCTATCTCTTTCTCTAGTCAAACAGACTTATATTAACATGGTGCAGTAACTTCATTTTCCTATAACTTCTAGTAGAGGTTTTCATTTAATTTAAAACAAATATTAAATGCGAAAGAAAACGCATACGTATGCAAGACAAATCAAGAGGATATTTTAATAATAGATACGAGAATTTTCTTTCTCTCTGAAAAATGAGATTTTTATAAAACGTTCGTCTATCTTTCTTCTCTTCTTCTTCTTACATTATATTTCTGGCCTGTGTTACACTCTCATATGCTTGTAGTGCGCACGTTGATTATTCAATTGCTACAAGCACATGGGACCTACAGTTTTAATGCCGATTCTGAACGGCGGATTTTTCGAGAGTGTTTCTGTGAGTAAGGATTCTCTCTCGGGAGGCCTTTTCCAAGAGAAGACATGAGCGTATATTTTGGTTTCTATCAGGATCAAACCCGAGACCCCTGACGTGATAGATCAGTGCACTGTCTGCCATGTCACGCTCGCGCTCTCGTCTATCTTTAAAACTGTGAATTTCTATTGCCAATTTTTGTTAAATTACCTATGTATTTTTCAAATTATTTATTAATTCTTACATAAGCAATAACCGAAAGAAAAGATCTGATCTTGTGTTCATTATTTATTATATCGTAATTTCCTTATATAGCAGTTTAAGCGTTTAATTTGTACCTTTTATGTATAAATTACGCTATATAATCAATTCTTAAACACTAATGAATCTTGTGGATTCAATATATGTATTCATAATTTCTTTCTAGTGCAATGTTATTAATTCGTTCATTTGTATATAGATATGATTTTGTAAAATTTTACATTCTCTTAAATAGTTTAAATCCTCTTTAAATAAATACATAAATTATTTATATATATATATAA